ATATATAACTAGTGTTGCATAAGACTTTGGTGCAAACCTATAATAAGACCATCAGGCATAGAAGACTAAGAAACTGAAATAACAAAAACCCATTTGAAAATTCCTAAGTAAAGAGTTAGTATGAACTTTTGTCAATATCATTAGACTAGTTGAAGCTTATGAAACACCTTCATAGGAACTGAAGGTTAAAACTAGACATCAAATATGTATAGAGGAGCACATAACCAACTAGGCTGCCAGATTTGCCAGAGAAAAAAGATACAGAGTATACCATACTGGGTCATCTGAATTGGTAATCTAAAATGAGACTGATGGTTCTGAGTTGTGGCTAGTAAGAGATAATAGAAAAGATGCTAGGAAGATAGGTACTAAAGTTTTAGTAAACTTTATAAGAGTAGAAATAGTGTAATATAGTAGTTAAACAAGTAACCTTTATGACTGCAAGTGTTAGGTAACTATAGCATGTTGCATAAAACTAAGTTTATGTATATAGGATATAAAGCCTTTAATAAGTTTCCTGTCGAGAATAAACTAGTCCTAAGGGTAACAACAAGCATTGGGAACTTGGATGGATATAGTCTTGAGATGTTCTCATAATACAAGGAGAACTGTATATGCAGAATATTTAAATAGGCAAGATCCTTAGTCAGCTTGCAAATATGACAACTAGTATAGAACTTATATAGCAATATATAAGCAGATTACTTAAATTAGGCACCAAAAGTGCATATGTGGCTAATTGTAACCTCCAATATAAGGTGAGCTCCTGGTGGCATGCTGTGTTCTAATATACTTGAATAAAAATGTTGCATTCTCAAGAAAGAGATTTTAACTATAAAAAATATATATATATATATTTTTTTTATAAAGAGATATAACAATCTAGTAAAGTAGTCAGGTTGTCAACCTTCAAGTGATAGGTCTAGAGTCTAAATCCTATAAATAATAAATTTTGAAAAATAGTTCTGTGTTATAGTAACTGTCTCTGTTGATTGGTTAAATTAGTATATCTGTAACTTTCAGTTGCATTATCTCAAATAAAAGCTTAGAGCATCTATACAAAGTATAATGTTATATTTATATAAAGAAATATTAATAACCAGTATTATATAAGACTTTAGTGCAAACTCATAATAAGACCATCAAACACAAAAAGTAAAGAAACTAAAGAGTCAAAAATCTATTTGAAAATTCCAAGTAGAGAGATAGTACAAAACTTTTAATGATGATGTCAAACTGATGGAAGTTCATGAAACATCCTCAAAGAAATAGACAAATAAACTGGATAACAAGATGTGTAAAGAAGCATATGACCAACCAGATCATCAAAATTAGCAGAAAAAAAAGATACTAAGATATATCATACCAGACTATTTAGATTGGAAATTTAGAGAATCCTGTTGGTTCTAAATAGTGGTTAGTAAGAAATAATAGAGAAGATATCAGAAAGATGAGTACCAGGGTTTTGGATAAACTTTACAAGAGTAAAAGCAATTTAATGATTAGTTCTAACTGCAAGTAATAGTTTAGACCAAAGCAATAACAGATAAACTATAAGTATAGAATACAGAATGCACTAATAGGTTTATTTAAAATTAAATATAACTTAGTAACTATGACATATCTTCACTAGTTTACTGAAGTCATTGGTAAGATGTAATAGATATAGGATTAGAGTATTTAAATAGAGGACCTACAAGTAGGTTCTAGGTATAACAACTAGTGTAGAACCTTCAGCAGACTACTTAAATTAGACAATGACTAAAGTTATACAAGTGACTAGTTGTATACTTTTTCTGTGATTGTCTCTGTACTGTTATGTCAACAAATGTTAGTCAACTGATACTACCAATAAAATCCTGAATTACATGTATTCATCTTAATATTTAAAAAATATATATATATATTTTTTATAAGCTCAGTTTAGATTGTAAATAAACTAGTCTGAGCTCTTATTCTTGCATATAATTTTTATTTTGTTATAAACAAACTTAGTTTATTTTAGTACTTTTGTATTAAAATATACAGTTAAAATTATTAATAAAGATATAAGCAAAGCCTTACCTTAATACCAAAAAAAAAATATTTTTTTTATAAGCAAAGTATACTCCATATCATTAATAAATTATTATTTTATTTAAAAAATACTAAATACAATTTAATTTTTCAGGCAAATTTGCCTGGAATATGGTTTAAGGAATAATTATATAATACTTATGAGTCTGAAATTGCTTATTTTTGAGGCCCGGCCCGGCCCAACCCACATTTAAGGTTAAAATTTTTTATCTGACCCGGCCCGGCCCGCGGGACTCAATGCAGGCCTATTCTAAAGATCAACCCTAAAACCAGCTACCCGATTCTGAATTGTGATAGTTGGATCTGGATATACTGTATATTATCTCCAGTAATTGATCCTTTCAATTTTTTACCTTTTTTTTATTTACATTTTCTCATGATATCAAAACATAGAATTTAGACAGGTACAAAATTTTTCATATACAGCCTCAATGGGTAGTGGAGCAATCAAATTCAGCAGATAGCATTAAACAATAATGCGTGCCAACTTTACTACTGCAAAATTATCATCTGCAACTTTACATAGTATGTGGGTTACCATTTCATTAGTAAAACTTTGGGTAATCTGTGAGAATATTTACCAATTCTTATTCTGATCCAAATTTTGGTTGCTTCATTAACCTATCTCTTTTAGAGAGAGCCCTGAATGCTTCAGTATAACATATTTGTATATAGTATTTATTTACCATATATCCTGTCGTTTTATAATGAGATTTGCTACTATATATTCCTAGAAATCTATATTTTTGCCTCACCTTAACATCAAAAAAAAAAAAAGAAATCTATATTTTTATAACTTAACAATATCCCGTCAGCGTGAGCGACGGGTTACATACTAGTTTTTATTAAAAAAAGGTAAACCTCGCTTAAGGTTAGGATAGAGCAATGGCTTATACCAAAATTTTGTAAGGAATTTTTTTTGTTAAACCTGAAAAGTAGTTTTATTCTATATACCCGTATACATACACGTAGTGTACGAATAGAAATTCTCTAAGCTATATATAACCTTACATGGATTTGTTAAATAAATTGCTAAATACTTGTGCATATAACTCCTGTGTACAATTAGAAATTTTCTTTAAAAAATATTTATTAAGAATTATATTTATTTATATCCGTTACTGTTGTTTGAGCACGTTCCAGATTTGACAAGTTGCCAGAAATTGACTGCAGCATGAGAAAAAAGATAAATAAATTTGGTTAATTCTAATTAAATGCTATAATTTGGGTATTTACTAATTTCCCCTCAGTGAGGATAAAATCGGTTTAGTCGACTAAACAATCCGTAGTAGATACAGTCGCACTCCCATATAAGCACATCACTTATAAATCACCTATATAAGCACATTATTTTTTGAACCAACTACTATTAGATATAAAAATAATTTTCTATATAAGCACATTATAAGTAAATGTTCTATATAAACACTTTTTGTGGATCTCAATAATGTGATTATATGGGAGTGTAATCCCTACCCCAAGTTTCTATTGGCATCGGTAAATATAGAGATTGTACCCCGGTAGAGATTTTTTTCGACGGGTACAATCTCTAGGTAAATAACATTTTTGATTGGACGAAATAGACGATTCTTAATAACGTGATACTGATTTTAGCCAATCAAGAAGCAGGATCAGGTGTACCGTGAAAATTGAAACTTGATTTGTACCTTTTTTAGATCCGATAAAAGTGAAAGACTTCGATTGTACGTTTGATGTATTTGTTCTACGAATTGTATACTTGGCATCACTAATTAACGTAAAAAAAAAAAAAAAGGACTTTAAAAAGTGGTTTAAAGAAATATATATTGACAAAAATTCTTACCATCCAATGATCCTATATTTTCTTCCATTTTCTCTTTGTCATTGATAAATTCTGCATCATTTACCAGTATCGACTGTCTCTTTATCATATCTTGAATTAAAACTTCTGCTTGATCAGGTAATGTTTTCCGTTTTTGCGCGATAAGCAGGGTCTTCGCTTCTATTTCTGCCTGAAGCGTTTGTACTTTATGCCTTAAGTTTTCATTAAGTGTTTCCGTATCTATAAATGTTGAGGTTAGTAAAAATTACGCGATATCTTTCATATGTTATTTATGAAAGCTGAAAAATTATTATCTACCGTCCTTTTCCTTGAGAACTATATTATAATCTAACCCGTTCACTTCCAAATTTGGAGCTGCCAATTCAAAAGTGTCGTTGACCCACTAGTAAAAAGATATTTATCATTTTTTAGAAAAATTAAAGGACGAGTTTGTTTTTTATAAATCCTGCAAACATGCCTTTTTAACGAGGGTTGCGACAGTTTGACCTAACTGAAGATCTGCATCAGTTCCAAAATGTTTTTCTACAGTTTTTAAGGCGGAATTTTTAATTTCTTCTTGTATGTAAAGTATATCTTCTTTCGTATCTGCCTGAATTTTTGGAATGTCTCTTTCCATCATTATAAGATTTCGTATGGGAGCGCGTGAATCTATGATATAATGTGCATGATTCCAAATCATAAAAAAAAGGAAATGATTATCGTATGAATTATATGAATTGTCGTTATTATACGTACAAATTTTTTAATTAGCCAGTTAATCAAATAAATATTCGTATTTTTTATAATGTCTGTAATTCGACCTGTAATTCCTGAAAACAAAGAAGTACTTGAATGGTGTTCTGATTTTAGCAAATTTGAAACTTATGTAAGTGGCGTTTAATCTACTTCAACAAATCAACCATACGTTAATTAATTTTATTAAATTAAAGTTCGACAAAGTGCCCTTGGATAGACGACAAGAAGTCGGTGGTCAAAAACTTAAATCTCTGCTTAGTGAAACCGATTTTCCCGGTCCTATTCCGCTATCTTCGAATAATCCTATTACTTTCTCGCTGTCTACACATCAATTTCAGTCAGTGAGAATCGCGTGCAGGGTTCGTTTTTGCATTTTGGATTTCTTATCACATTATTAGTAATTATGACTTATGGTTTTTACATTCCATAGATTATACAAAAAACGCGATTATATTTACAGCATATTGAACAAAATGTACCTATTAATGTACAACCTGCAGTCTTTCATGCTTTGATTCCACTCGGAAAGTATGTTGTTTTTCAGTTTTTCTCACAATGAACATTGTCTTGTTTCACTACTTTATTAAAGCCATTTCTCATTTAATTAGCCATCCTTACAATAGGGATCCGCGTCATGATCCTGTAGTTTTATTTCATCGATGGATAATAAGATCAAAGTACAATAACGTCAACTTTGGTTTTGAATTTGATCCAGATGAAAAGTCCATTATAATGTTGGAAAATTTGTATGAACGATTGGGTCAAGATATTGCTGTATTTTATTTTATTTTATTTTTCACCTTTGCTTTATTTATTTTTATTGTTATTTACATAGTTTTTTCTTTTTTGATTAAAGACGTTTATCACGGGGTCTACATTGCAAGATTCTATTTCGCCTTCAGACTCAGTTCACAAAATATTTCGCTGTCAACTAGCTTTTGAATTAGGGGAATATTATTTTTCCAGGAATCGCGAAAGGGCCTTCTCTTATTTATGTAAATGTAGACTTGAAGGCCATTCTTATGACCGAACTAAGGAATATAATGCTTTTTGGTAAGAGAATTGGTATTATATCTACAATGGTAAGTTTATTTCTAATTATTACTTTCTTTGTTTTCTCAAAGTACAATAGACCAGAATCGATTATCTGCTTTAATTAAGGGGACGGGTATTGTAACGACTTTTCCCCCATCTGAGCAAATCAATTATTTTAAAAGTGATCTAGACTATGAGAGTGTATATAATGTTTTATTGAGATCATTTGAGGAAAATACCTGGTTTATTATACCAACTGAAGAAGCGCGTGCCCTTGTTGGTCAAGCTATTAAGGTTCACGAAGAATATGCAGCGATTAAGATTGCAGTTTATAATGCTTTAAAATTACAACCAAATGCATCTGTGGGTTAGTGCTTGTTGATCTTTAAATCTTTTCAAATTTTTTTTTTCTTAAGCGAATTTATTTATTTTTGGATTTGTTTATAGATGATATGCTTAATGAGGTGCCCATACAGTGCATTCAATATTTTCACAATAATTTTGATGAACAGGCAGTGAAGGATATAATTGAACTGATAAAAACAATTTACGGAAACTTTCCTGGGGTAAAATTAAGTGTGAATCAAAGGAAATTTCTTTCTTTATTTTTCGAAAGACTTGATAACGATAAAGTTTGGGATGTTGTAAGGAAAACTGAAGGTATGTTTGATATTAATATTTTTTTTAGAATGATACTAAATGTGTATTCTTCAATTTCATTTCAATTATAGGGCTGGAATTTGTACAATACCCACTTGAAAGAATGATCGAGCCGTTAGTTTTACTAAACACGCGTTGTAAATCGACAAATGGTTTCAAACATAAGATCAATGGCAACAAAAAAACTAGACCAAGTCAAGAAATTAGATTAAACATTGTTCATGACGATTTTCAAATTCCTAAAAGCCTGAAACATATTCAGGTTCATATCAATTTTTTCAAGGTTTTCAATCATTATAACTTTATTTAGACTAATCTTATCATTAAAAGCTTCGACCATCTCGACTTTCTAATACAATCCCGTCGATATTTCAACCTTTAAATCAATCTTCTCGAATTGGTCGAGTAAGTGGATTCAGTTTGTTACTTATTTACTGCGTTTCAAACTTTATAATAGACATTTATGTCATTCTAGAATGAACCTCAAAATACTGTTTATTCAAGATTGAAAGCTGTTGAAGAATTTATTAATTCGGCTTGTCATCAACAACCTTTGGATCATTCTAAATTAGAACATGTAGAGAGTCTGTGTAATAATGCGTTGGATGATGCTTTAAGGGTGGATCTACAGAACTTGGTAAGAATATGTTTCCGTCGTAGTTTAATATATTGAATATTGCATAAACTTAATATCATTCGGATTATTTATAGGAAGATGTTATACGGATTTTGATAGATCATTCTCGATGGTCATTTTTGAGTAAATTCTTTACGAACATGTTAAAATCGAAATCCAAGAACGAGTTTAGGAGTTAGTTTATGCTAATTTTTGTAGTAAAATTCTCAATTAATATTCTATAACTAAAACTTATAATGATCCATGTATTTTTATTAACTAGCCGCTTATTTGTTACAATATCATTTTTGCAAATTCATGATTCCATGTATTTGTATATTGAAAATATGCTCAAAATATGCGCAAGGTACACATTTAGAAAATTTATTGGGATTTTTTTTTTATGAAAATGTCATAACAAATATTACAAATTTTGCTAGAGGTCTATAACGTAGGTTATGATCGTGAATCCATATATCAAAAAGAATTTGATGTAATTTTCAACATGGACTATGATGATATAAGAAGCTTGCGCGCTTCAACACATAAGTTGATTAAAGCCCTCGCTCTGTTAGATAATAAGGACATGGTAAATTACATATAGTCCTTGGAACTTTTAGATAAGTAATATGCCACTAAACTTTTTTTTAACATACAGGAAACTTGTTTTGGAATTTTGACTAAGCTCAAAAACTTGAAATGGGCACATCAAGTAATTGGAAGCTTGATGGTTGGATCATTGTGTAATCGGCAGTCTAAGCTAGGTCGAAAGGTATTTTTATTGTTATTAAATCTACATTTTAACCTTATATTCACCTATTACATTTAACTAATAAAAAATATATTTGACCTTTAAAAGCAATTAAACTCCCAATTATATGGCCCGCTTACGATTATTTTAATGTCAACCGAGTGTGCTCAGAGACATTGGCCTGAAAAATCGCAAGTCCCATTATTTCATCATCTCATTATTATTATTGCAAGGATTTTCGTATTAATAAAATTGTGTGAAATTATTATAATTATTAGGTTTAATAAAATTTCAAATGTGCTTGATGAAAAAATAAAACCGGTTCGATTTGATTTCACACATTTGTTAATACAGTTATGTATTGAAGCGGCTAAATATCATAGTCCAAAGTATTGTTATTACATTCGTTTGGCTGACATATATTGCCTGCAGGGGTCACCCCTAAAATCTTTGAGGTAAATAAATTGGTTCATTGAATAAGCTATCCATATAATCCTCATTAACAGCTAATTTAATAGATATAGTATGGAGGCAATTGCGTTAAAAACATCCTTTTATATGTTTTTTGATAAAATAAATGAATTATGGTCTTTGCATACGATAAAGCAAATGATTGTCTGTTCTCTTTCCCGTAAAGGTAAATTACTTGTATTATTTATTATTAAATATATAAATATATATGTATATAAATATCATAATAACGATGTCATTTAATTAGAACCTATTGCTGCCATAGTGCTCCACCAATTTATCCAACATGAGTTTGGTTGCCTAAACGAGACAAAGCCTTTACTCGATTTGGCGATAAACGACGGAACATTACAAAAATCCATTTTTACCAAGTTTATATTTGACGTTCAAGTGTTAGAACACATTTGTAGTATCCTCTTTTTCAATGATATTATTTGGATTGATATTAGGGATGCTAACTAGTTCATTTGGTCCAATCTAATTAATTAAAAATAGAATTGAACTAGCTAAAATTTAATGCGAACTAGGTTGGTGTCTTAATCTGGACCAAGTTCTCAAAGCTCAATACTTAATATCTAGATAAATTAAAATAATTAATTAAAGTTAGCGTTGAACTTGATATGAACTGGGTTTATTTGAACTACTTAGTATCTCTAATTAATATAACAAAAAAAATTTTTTTTGATTAATATTCTATATAGTGATTATTTATCCCTTAATGATATTTTTAATATTTTTAAAGAATATCTATACAGCAAAGGCGAAATTACACAATTTAACGAAATAGTAAGATCTGATTATTATAATTTCTATGTACTTGTTGTTTGAAAATTAGATATAAGAATTAAGTGTCTGTAACTGTTATTTTTAGTCAAAATGGTTGCGATCACATTTAGAAGAACAAGCGCCATCAATATTCTCCAAAAGTTATACATTCTCTGAAAATGATAAGCAAACCAAGTTCAAAAATTACGTCAAACATAAATCCCAGAAAGAAGTTATATGCGTTGATATTGATCCAACACATCAAGAGATTGTTGTCGATGAATTGAAGCGCCAGTTTATGCACGCTGTACTTGAATGGATTGATGAGGAAAATGAGGTTTGTTTGAAAATGTTTTAGTATTAATTTACTTATTGTTTGTTTACTAAATCGTTTTATTTTTGAGCAGTTCAAGACTAAATTTCAAAGCTACCAGTATACAATTGTTATGTTGAATTATTTTTTGATTTTTTATTTATTTTTTTTTCTTAACCCGCAGATATACTCTCGGGACGCCATAAGACGTTTTATTAATTTACATAAATACTAAAATAAAGAATTACATTTTAATCTATGCTACCAAACTGGTTTCGTGCAATGCCTTCCCCTTCGTATTCACCTAAGAGCTATCTAAAATCCCTTCTAATAAATCTAAGGATTTTTGGGGCTTTCCTATTTTGTATTTTAATCTGTGTGGGGTTTTAATTTCTCTTTAATACGGTTACATTTATTTGTTTGTTTGTACACTACCAAATTTCATAAACTGTGATGATGTACAACCACATCGCTGCTACTTTTTTTGGGCCTGTTCCAATGTTGGAATCCAAAGTAATCTCTTCTAAATTATTTGGTGATCCAAAATGTACGACTAACTGTGCATTCTGCAACAAAGTGTACTATTGTTTGCGCATTCTAGGAGAACTCCCGTTTCCGCATTGTAGAATGTCGTAGCCTGTATCCCAAAGGGAGTACCCTGTATAACATCGCCAAAATATACCAATCTTTTTATTAATAATATATTCTTGATGATATAGGTCATCTCATCACTTTTGATACATCATATTTTATAAAATAAATTAAAAAGCTTATTAATAATATTAAATTTAATGAATGTTATTTTAAATTATACTTTTAGGATTATCTCTGTGTGTAGACTGATGATTTGAACCGGGTAATAAAAATCAAATCGGTTAACCGAATTAACTTACCCGAATGCAATCGGCTCAACCGTATTATTTCGGTTAGATCAGTTGACCTGGGCCAACCGAATTAGCCGGGTCAACCGAGTTATCCGGGTCAACCAACCTAATCGGGTCAGCCAAGTCAATTGGTTAATCAAATTATCTGTGTTAACTGGAGGCTGTTTGCTGAACTTCTTGAGAACTTTTCTTCGTTTAAAGCAGACAAAAAAAATGTCTATAATATTTCATACGTCCAATGAGTTAATTTGAGTAAGAACTAAACATAAATTATATTGTCTTTATTAGATTGTGCATCAATGAGAGCAGAACATTACAGAAGGTCATTAGACAACATTGGCAGTTAAGATTAGTAGATTCCCGGAGTTTTTACATACTAGATCCAACAATTGTACCGAATATATAAAAAAAGAATGTTAAGATTCTGGGATTCAAATTGGGTTTGGAACCCGGATCACTATTGACCTTAAACCAGTGTTGGAAATAGGATTGCTGGTGCTAATATAATTTTAATGGTGTGCCACGGTGCACCATTAAATTTTTATAGTATTTATTAATAGTGAACCATGGTGTGCCATTAAAATTATGCTCGCACCAGTAACCCTAGTTGGAAATTGGACAATAAACTGTGCCACAATAGTTTTGGAACATAATAATCTTTCCAACATTGCTCTAAACCTAAATTATGTAAAATTTCTAAATTTTTCTAATGGAATATGGTTTACATCGCTTGCACAATAATGGTACATGTTTTCTGGATGTTGATTTAACTAAATTAAATTCGTTAATATATAATTAATATGGCCAAACATACTTGAAACCTAAAATAATCAAACATTTTATGCAGTATAACTATTAAAACTTATGTAAATTGCAATAATCTTTAATAGGTTTATTGGACAACCTGATGTTTGAAAAGGCTAATTCAATAGTTTTGAAAATCATTGGACATATAAAGTTTTATATGTTTAATTTTTTTCAAAATTATTAAACATATGTTCAATGCCAACACTGAGTGTACCTTCTATAAGCACATATCTAAAATTCTGACTCAAATATATTAATGTTCTTTATAAATGTATTATTTTTTAAATGCACATTATTAGAGTTTAATCTTAAGAGCATATATTTATAGAGATTTGTAGTTTAATATATATGTTTTTTCAAATTTTCAATTCAGAATAATTATAATTCGAACATCAATAATTATAGTTATGAGCAAAAGATTCTAAATCCTGTCAATATGCTTAGGATCATTGAATTTTACAAAAAAAAAAAGCATATAACAAAATAATTAAATGTATTTTTAAAAGGTTTTAACTAAAGAACTTTTCTTAATAATTATTTAAATCAAACTAGCATCAAAACAATTTGAAGAATTATGTTTTTAAATAGATTTTATTTTTGATTCTATTTTAATATATAAAGCAAATTATTGCTAACAAACTAGAAGTATGTGAAAAAATTAAGGTGTAAGTAACTTTTCTAATGGTTTGTATTGAGATCAAACCTTTCTGCAAATAGACTTCTCAATATATTTAGTATCTAAACTAGAAGAAGATTCTGAAAACAATAGAGAAAACTCTAGTTAAAGTTTATTAGAAGTTTGAAAACAGAACAAACAGCTAGAAACATTTTTTTTAGTTTGGTTTTTTATATATTATATTTATTGATCTTTTCTATTTATTTCATTTTTTTTATCTAAAAATAAGAAATTAAGTTTCCTTTTTACAAAAGATCAGCATTGTTTATCACTTTCTTTTTTAGACAGTTATATATTGTAACATGATGTAATAGGAACACAATAATCATGTATATAGTCTAATATATAGTATAATAAAGAAATAAAGAAGAATTTAAATTGAAAGATTATAGTAAATTAGAGATATATAGTAATTTTTAGAATCATGTATATAGAATTTTTACTTCTTTAGTCAAGGTTAAAGTGTAATTAGATCCTTAGTACAAGTTTAAAGTATTAGTGATCTTACTAAAATAATTATGAATAAGGTGTGTTTTTTAACATTTTTTTTTCTTTCTATAAACCTTTTTAGTTTAGTTTAGTGTTTTTTTTTTTTCTTTTGTTTCTCTATAAGAAAGTATTATTAGTTTGGTAATATTCTATTGTAGGATAGTAGTCAAAAATAACCTTTTAGATAATAACTTATTATTGTTTAGTGTGATAAGTTGTTTCTGAATACTCTTAGAAGCAGTCGAGAAAGTTGAAACTAAGAAATTAAGCATATAATATTAGCAGTAATATTAATATTTTCTTAATAAAAGTATATTAGTATAACTATTTAAGTAAAAAAAAAAGTTTTAACTAACTAAAAATATAAGTAACCTTATAATAATCAATATAAATGAATATTTTGAATACATTAATTTGAAAATATATAAATACTAAATAAATAAAAAAATTAGTTGTCTGAAATTAAGTCTAAGTATAATATTAAAAGGTTTTTAAATTGGCTGTAGTGCTATATAATAAGTGTTAAAATTATAATTATTAAAAAATTTTTTAAAAAAATTATTATTAGTTATTTTAAAATTAGTTTTTTTTATAAATGACTTTATAGAGATCACAATTATTATTTTATAAAATATATATATTTTGTATAAATAATAATTATGATCTTTGGGGGTGTGGCGACCTAGTGAAGTGGTCAGGTTGTCAACCCTCCAAGTGGTAGGTTGGGTGTTCAAATCCCATCGATA